ATAATATTAATTTATTAATTAATTTTAATTTAATAATTCAATAAATATTAATTATTTTATTAATTATTAATTATTTTTATTAATTAAATTAAATAAAATTAATATTTTAAAAAATAATATTTTGCAAGTTGTAGTCATCTCAACATTCTTATTACTGGACATGACCATTCCCACGTGAATGTATTGACAATCTAGAATCTAATCTTGCTTTAACTAAAGATGAAAACATCATAAAAAACAAAAATAAAAGATTCTCACGATGTAGGGGAAAAGAAGATCAGGAGATGGATGGAAGAAGGTAAAATGTCAGCCAAATAGTTCCAATAATCGTCCTTTAAAGAATATCCTATTGATCAAGAGCTTGGATTTCTCCTTAAAAAAAAACAGAGGAAGATATCTTGTTATATTTTTCATCATTGTTTGTTAAAAATAAAAATAATAATATCAAACTCCATCAAGTGACCTGATGATTGCACGCTTCATTAAGGTTGGTAAGGTGTTCATCGGATTTGAGAATCGAATGTTAAGTTACTAATATTTAACAATACTAACTTACTGATCATTATCTTTATCAAATAATAATAATAATAATAATAATGTCAAAAAAAGAGAAAAACTAATAAAAGAAATTTTAGTTATAATGGATGAGAATGGCACGTAGACAAATTGGGATAAGCCATCCAATTGATGTCCTTACTCTTTACCTCTTTGATTTAGTGGGTCCTCTTTAATCCGATACAACAGTAATTGTGGCCATCGATCACTCTTTTGTAGGATTTTTTTTTAAAGAAAAATGTGTATTGCATTATGAATTATATAGTATTAATTATTATATAAGAGTAAATTTTTTGATATTAAAATCTTTTTTTATTTAATAATTTTTATTTTATTATCCAATACAATTCAGACAGCAAAAAAAAATGAGAACTCTTTTTGAAATAAATAAGAATTTTTTTGTTTTTTTTTTAATGGAAAAATTAAATTTTTAGTGCCTAGAAACAAAATAAGAGAGAACTTGTGGGCCTAAAGTGCTAAGGTGGTGACCTTGATTGATACATCATCTCATGGACTTTTTTGAGTAATAAGCCCATTTGGTACTTTATGGGTCCATAAGCAAATATACAAGCCACCGCCCACCAACAACCTATGAGTGGCAAAGAAGTTGCCAACGGAGTTAGTTCTCTATCTTATTGATTAGTGTTGGATTATTGGTATAGCTAACTTCCGTTGACAAGATAATTTTTCATAAATTCTTTAATTTTGACATTGATAATTTGCTTTCAACTATATTGGATAGTGAATAGACGTTATCTTTCAAAGCAAAAGCAAAAGGACATAAAAATCCTCATAGTTCACTAATGAACTTAATTAAGTTCATGTACCTAACCCATGAACTTCATTAAGTTCATGTACCTAACCCATTAACTTAATTAATCATAATTATGTTTTGCAAGAGAATTGGATTGTCATATTAAACCCTAATCATAATGATGTTTTCTGTTTAGTATTATTTTATGTTAGAATCGTGGACTCTTTGATCACTTAACAAATTGTAAAAAATAGTATCAATCATATGATCTAGTAATAGAATTACATGTGCTATTTTTACTTGCAGATTTAAGGTTTAATCTTTAGACTTTAAATACTAAAAAAACAAAATGGTTTACAAGGAAAAGTTATGAAATATGAAGAAGTTGGACAATATCAATTCTGAGATGTGAGGCACTTAAATGCAAGGACAAACAGATAGTCTGTGTTTTGCAATCCACATCACAACATTAATCTCTTAGTAATTACCATTATCATAAGGATTCCCTTGTCTCAATCAAAGTGTATATCATGTCCCTATCTCTTTTTGTATAATATTATTTTAACCGTGTCCATGTCCATGAACTGTTGCTTAGGACAATGCATGATGCCATGACTCATGATCAGATCTATAAACGTAATGATGATAATGACATGCAAATGTAGGGTAAAATTAGAGAATTTCTGATAAGTTTGCTAATGAAGCTAGCAAGGAGCTCTCCCTCAACACCATATAAAACAACAAACCAGTAGAGGCAG